GCGCAGCTCGATTCTGGACCAGTTGCAGTCGCTGGACCGTCTTCAAAGGCAGCCCCACGTAGAGCGCATTTTAGTAATCTATACGAGATATTACCAGTGCATGTGTAATTGTCATGAGACTGCTTGTCCAGGTAGGCCTGTAGCTGGTATAATTTCCGCAGCTCAAGGAAGGCGCCCCTGGCCACTGAGTCCACCTGGGCTTCCAGAGTTAGACTGGGGTCCAGGAGCACCCCCAGGCTGCAGACCCTATCCCTTAGGGGGAGTGTTAACCCATTCTGAGCAGGGAAATGGCCCTCCAGCCTGTCTAGTGAAGCACCCACTAACAGCACTTCCGTCTTGTCTGGATTGAGTTTCAATTTATTAACCCTCATCCAGTCCATTATCAGGTCCAGACACGAGTTCAGCACAGAAACCGCCTCCTCTGGATAGGTGGAAAGTCGGCATATTGCTGACTCCTCAGCCCAAACCTCCTGATGACCTCTCCCAGCGGTTCCATGTACTGTAGATGTTAAACAGCATGGGGGACAGTATCGAGCCCTGAGGAGCCCCATGACATAAATGGCATGTGGCAGAGCAACTGTCCCCCAGCACCACCCTTTGGACACAGTCAGTCAGGAAGGAGCGGAACCACTGTAAAGCAATGCCTCCAACTCCCAACCCAGCCAGCCTATCCAGAAGGACACCATGGTCGATGGTGTCGAAAGCCGCTGAGAGGTCCAGGAGTATCAACAGGGTCACACTCCCCCTGTCTCCCTCCCGGCAAAGATCATCGTACAGGCTGACCAAGGCAGTTTCCATGCCAAAACCTGGCCTGAAACCTGAATGAAAAAGATCCAGTAAATCCGTTTCATCCAGCAGCGTCTGGAGTTGCCTGGCCACAACCCACTCCAACACTTTGCCCAAATAAGGGAGGTTCGCCACTGGTCGGTAGTTAACCACCAGCCTTGGGTCCAGGTTAGACTTTTTTTAGGAGTGGCCGAATTACCGCCTTTCAAGGTGGTAGGGACCACTCCCTCTCTCAAAGAGACATTCACGGCCTCCTGGACCCAAGTGCAAACCCCCTGGCAGATCTTCTAATTAGCCAAGATGGGCAAGGGTCGAGAGGAGTGGTGGTAGAATGGACAGATCCAAGCATGCTGTCCACATTCTCAGGTCTCAACAACTGAAACCCATCCATTAATATCTGACCTAAGCACAGCACACTGGACACATCCTCTGATTTTCAGTAAAGGTGAAGTCCAACCCACTGCGAATCTGAGCAATTTCTCCCTCAAAATGAATGGCAAACTCAGCACAGAAAGCTGATGAGCAGTCCGGGACCTCCACCGGATTTCCCGGTTGAAGATGATCCTGGACCACCCGAAACAGCTCTGCTGGATGACATTCTGAGGAAGCAATACAGCTGGAGAAATATTGCTGTTTTGCCAGCCATGTTGCCATGAAATAGGCCCGATAATGGGCTCTAAGTTGTGTTCGATCAGACTCCCAGCGGGACTTCCTCCACCTGTGCTCCAACCGTCTCCCCTCTTGCTTCATCGCCTGCAGTTCAGAAGTATACCAAGAAGCTGTCTGGGCTCTGCGTGCTTAGGCGCAATCGTGTCAGCCGCCCAGGTCATCTCCCTATTCAATAGGGTGACCTGAGCTTCGACTGGAAACATTCAAGTCACAAAGTATTTCTATGATGTATTTGCGAAGGCTTTAATGGCCGGGATCTAATGGTTGTTGTGGGTTTTTCAGGCTCTTTCTATGATCCCATTTGGATTACTATAATGTATTCTATGTGGGGCTGCCTTTGGGAAGTGTTCAGAAAATTCAGGGGGCCCAAAATGCCACTGCCAGATTGTTAACTGGAGCTTGGTTACAGGAGATTGCATAACTCCCCATTTACAACACTCCACCTGCTACCAGTCCATTACTGGACACAATTCAAAGTGTTGATTATGACTTACAAATCCCTAAACACTGTGGGTCCAAGCTATATGAATGGTTACATCCCTCTTTATGATCCTGCCCAGGTTTTTAAATAATCAAGAGATATCTTTCTCTTGGTCCTGCCACTCCAATAGTAGCGTTTGGCGAAAAACAAGAGAGATCCTTCTCTGACACGCTTTTCAAGCTACAGAACTGCCTTCCACCGGTCACACTGTTCCCTTTTTTGCCATCCATCCACAGGCAGGCAGGTAGGCAAAAACCTTTTTCTTCAAACATGCTTTTTCTCAGTAATTAGCTGCTTAAAGGGAGTCCCCCTCCAGTTTTTATATTGCTTGTTTTAGTACTGTAAGCTGCCTTGGGTCCTCTCGAGGAAAAAGGTAGGGTACAAATATTTCAAATAAATAAATAATACTTTAACAAAACTGTAACTTCATCAACAGAACCTGTGAAACTTTCACAAAAACTGCTCCCAAGCTATCACTTTTTAAAACCTAGATCCTCCACAAATTCAGAAACAATTCAGGGGATGGAGAGGACTGAGAAGAGGAAAATGCTGGTGTGTCAACTGTAAAACACCTTGTTACCTAAAATGTAAAGATTTGAAGGAGTAAAAACAATGCAGATATGGGCTGCTCTGGTTCAAATTCCTCATTTTTTAAAAGAAAAATGAGCATCCTGTATTAACCTGTTTGCCCTTACATTATTATTGTACAAATAACTGACTCACCAGATGCTCAGCAATCTGTTTAGGTAACAAAGACCAGTGTTAGAGATACATTTTTAAACAAACCTAATGGTGATATAGTGGTCTAAAGGCTTCTTTACAGACTGCAATTATCTACTTCCTTTCCTCAACCCAGAAAAACCACACCCACTGTCAGAAAATCAATTAAACCAAATTTGTTCTTGAACCTCTGCATCACTACATCTACACCACTGTCACATTTGGAGGGAAGTCATTTTTGTCTTGTTATCCAACTCATTTGTCACATCTGCTCAGAATTTAGCCTGAAACTGTTCTGGTAAAGAATCATAAGCCACAGAAATATTGTTTTTAATGTACACTGTCAGACATAAGTCCCAATTAATTCAATGTGATTTACTCCTTATAAAGGGTGGCTAGGATTATATTTTATGTTGCATGGTATGTGTCATTCTAAAAGTTACTATTCTCATTCACTGAACTGTAGCTGTACTGTGTGATACCCAAAGACCACACTGTATGGCACCTGAAGCAATCATAAAAAACAGAATCTTCTACTTGATCATTTAGGGCATATCTACATATTAGAAAAACAAGGTAATGATAACATCAGTTATATATGAAGGCCCCCATCCATCTCCATAATGAATAGTTCCAAACTGCCAAACAGTGTGATTCCACACTATGGCTCGTTTTCTGTTCTACACTATTTGCAGCTGGTGGTAAGGGAATACAATATGACTACATAACATGGGGCAATTTAAACTAAGTATAACCAGGACAAGCTCTCAAGGTAGGGCTGCTATTTTGGGTGGCAGTCCCTGACCTTTGTAACAAAACCTTCCAACTCTTAAACACAAAAGTACCTACAAAAAATAATCTTGGCATTTCGCAGTACGTACCCTAGATTTTTCAGGCATATGTTTGGCCATGTCCTGCTAACACCATTATCATGACACTTGATTATACACTGTTACACCACCTCATCACTGGTTCTTCCCCCTTCATGTGGTAACCCAACAATCACTGCTTGGTTTGCTCTTGGATGCTAACATAGCTTCCAACCTTGTGTGAGTTAGGCTGCCATTCCCAATACAGTAATTATTCTGATTCTTTTACCCATAAGCTTGGGGAACCTGCAACCTTCCAGATACTGCTGGGACTGCAATGCCCATGAGCTATGAAGGCCAGGGCTTCTGAGAGCAGCAGTACTCCTCACTCGAAACGGGCACCTTCTGCACACTCGCCCAATGCAACAGCCTTCCTGCAGTGAGCGTTGAACGGCCACAAGGTCGTGGGTATAATACAGCGCCACAACTCAGAGGCAAAGGGGCTGCTGAACCGAAGGGCCAAGCTCGACTGGGAAAAATAAAAGATTAGAAACTGATTGGCGGCTCGGCGGGCAAAAAGACCCAAGCAAAGAACGTCAGGAGGTGGGCAGCCTGTTGCACGCAGGGAAGAGGAGGAGGAGGAGGAGGAGGAAGAGGAAAAGCAGCCAGAGCGCGGGCGCGCCTGAGGGCCGCCTTCCTCCACGGTTGCACAAAGACTCATTTCCTTCTTCCCCCTTTCGCCCTTTTAAGGAGAGGCGGGAACGGCTGACGTGTCCCGAAAACCGAAGGAGCCCGGGTGGGCCCAAGAAGGGCCGGCAACACCCGGGAGGGGGCGACGAGGCCTTCGCACCGCCTCCGGGCACGACTCCACGCCCCCCTCACGGGCAGAGACCAAGAGGACGACAGCAACCCCCCCCTTTATTTCCCCCCTTGCCATGGCCAAACGCCCCGTTTCTCTCTCTCTCTCTCTCTGTGGGAGAAGTCCGACGGCCCCCCCACCCGGACGAAGC